TATCCGATGCTAAATGAGGAAATGAAAAAAATCTTTACAAATAATAATGAAGAGTCTATTGAAAAGTCATCATCTTGAATCATATTCATGAGCTTGGTGGATTTTGTTGTTGTTGTTGTTGTCCAAGTTGAGCTTTCAATGCAGCTAATTGCTCAGCTTCTTGTGCATGAAAATAAGCATTTTCAGCTGATTTACCTCGTTCACTAAATGCTCCACCTGCTTGACCAATAGAACCAGCTTGTGCTCCCAAATGAAAATTTTGTTCGTTCGATGACATTTTAACGTTATTCAAAGATCTGAAGAAAAGTATAAAGAGCGGCTAAGAGCGACTGACTAGGAAACTGTAAAAATTCGTCCGTATTTATTATTCTAGAATATTTTTTGTCATTCTTATTCATATTTGTTTATTTCATGCAATACTAGTTGAGATTTGTCGATGATTCTGTTCTATGGCGTTGTTTGATGACGTCATGTTGTATAATGATGGCAGTACATGATGATGAATCAAATATCGATGATGTATGAAATGAAGATAAAATGTGAAATAGAACGAAAACTTTCGATTTAGATCAAACAATTATTTCAGAATTTAATGAAATCATAAATATTCTGCAAATATTTAATTATGCCTATTATAAAAGTCTCTATCATCAGCAAAAATAATATGAACTACACAACAATAATAAGCCTGATAAGTTATATAAGTTGTTAATTTCTATGAATTCGAACACTGCAAGAGAAATTAAATTTATAAATAGGATACAGCGTAGAGTTGTTTTTTAGAACAAATAATTTAGAAGTTATTTGCTTTGAAATCGAACGAGAGAACTATATTAATATTTTTCATGGATAGTTGACTAAAAAAATCAGAAATAAGTACAAACAGTTACATTAAAAAACTTGATAATTGTTCATGAAAAAATGTTTCTTTACAAAAAGTAAGATACGACTGAAAGAAAATAATACTTAAATATCAGCTTTTCCTCTAATTAGAATAAATCAACCAAGAGATGAACGAGCATCTGCTCGATAAGTAATTCTAGCGAAATACGCTTGTCGTTTCCAAGATCATGAATAAGTTATGTACTTCAGTCTTGGTTCATTGAGATAATTTTGGAAAGTATTCTCAGTAAAAGTGACATCAGTCTTTACTTGCATGCATGCATTAGACTCTTTGATACGATTGGTTAACTAGCCAAACCAACAACAAAAAGCTTCTATCAATAAATTGTTTACTTTTATGAGGTCATACATTAGTTACAAAACTATTTCTAAATCGCATGAAAGTATGATTCGATCGATTTTTACGCATAGAATTTTCAACTATATTAATAGTAAACTTTAATTTTCTATCAGTTATCATTCAAAGGTGGCATTCATTTTTTCTATGGCTTCCAAGAAGTAAATTCCTCTTTTCGCAATGAATGAAATAAGAATATTTCACGATTAAAATGACTACGATAACGAATCATGAAAACAAATATCGATTGACAAAACGTATAACTTGTGCTAGAGTTTCGTTCTATTATGAATGTAAAGAAAAAAATCCATGTAGATTATTTTTTTCTAGATGGTGAAAATAGCTCTACAGTTTAAAGCTAATCTTGAAAATGTTACAGATTTTCATATCGAATCTTTCGATGATTTCATTTGGTATTTAAAATTAGAATGTACTAAATGTCATACACCTTCTGATACGTATCATGATATTAATTTGAGACAATTATCAAGTATATCTGGAAGCCGTGGCGAAGCTAATTTTATAATGAAATGTAAATTTTGCTCTCACGAAGGTAATCTTAATATTGAGCCAAGTAAACCTTCAATGAATTATACAAGTGATGACGCGGATAATCATACGTTTAAAACAGTCGTTATATTTGATTGTCGTGGCATAGAACCTATTGATTGGCAGCCAGGTGAGAATTTGTTTTTTTTCTAATTTGACGTAATTATGAATATTGATTTAGTCTCTTTTTTCTTAAGGTGATGGATGGGCATGTCAAGGTGTTGAATCGGGTACAAAATTTAGTAAAATTGATTTGTCCGAAAATAAAGAATGGATGGATTATGATGAAAAAGCTAAGGAAGCCGTAACGATTAATGAACTCGAATTCAAATTTGTAAAAGTAAAATAGATGAACTTTTTTCTTGATTGTATTCATTTATTGATAAAATAAATGACAAATGTTGAAACATAAGGGCAATCATTCAAAGAAAATTTTGACCTGTCCGTCCATCTTGAACTGATAGATAGATATGAGGAAAAGAAGAAAAAAAAGTCGACTAACATTCTTTTTTCTTTCTTTCTCTCGCACACCTGTCCGTCAATTTGATTTCTCCTAGTCATTGTCAAACGACATCAGTTCAATATTTATTTCACGTAATCAGTTCCATATTGTAATTCACTTCAATGTCATCAAATAATTCATCGTCTTCATCATCATCGTCAGCAACAACAACAAATTCGAATACAGATAGTGCATATGAATCATCATTAGATCAGTTACGTTCATTATTGCCTGATTCAAATGCAAAAGGCATGTCGGATTATGATGTTGTTCGATCAGCGACTGATTACATTCAAACATTAATGAAAGATACTGGCAATTCGAATTCATCTGATTGACATCAAACGACTTGGTAACTTTTGATTTTCTTTTCTTTATGACAATTGTTTTTGATATTAACTGTTTCTTTGTGTATTAATAAATATGAAAAGCAGCAGTCGTAAATTATCATTCACTATAATTATATTTCAATTGAAGTAGACTTTTTTTTCTGAGAAAGAAACATGTAATATTTCGCGCTTTTCTTATCTTCATTTGCGAAGTTAGCAATTGCTTGAAAGTTTTCTTCCTTATGAATAATTTATTTCTCTTATTCTCCATCGAAATTTTCACTAGCATAACGCCTGTATAATTTTTTTTATAGAGATGATATATATATTTTTTATAAGATAAAACGCAGCAACAATGGTGCATCGTCCAATGTAATTAATTTCTAAAACTAGTATCAATATGAAAATAAAATCATCAAGGAGAAGAGAATCTACTATACATACTTGATAAAAATATAAAAAGGAAAACGTACGTATTAACAAAACTCACTCACGTCAAAAATGAGATCTCATACAGAATAAATAATACAAGAAGAATCTAAGCTCTCCTTGCATAGAAACATAGAATGCAAGAAAAAAACAAACATTCCTTCTCTATCATTTTAGAGAAGAAAATTTTTGAAAAGTTAGTCAAATGTTTTTGATTTTTTTTCCAATCTATTATTATTAATAACAATCCATCTTCTCCGCATAAGTACTTGCTGCCATTGTTGCTTGTTCATTAAGTATCAGTGCTTTCTCATGTAGTTGTTGATGAACAAGTTGTACTTTTTGAAAAAGCATTGCACGAATGTCAGGTAATTGATAAGGACTAAGATCAAGTTGAAATGCTTCTTCAGACGATGGCTCACCTCCAGCATCTTTTCGATAATTATTAAATAGAGAACTGTGTAATGCATCGTCAGCTGTCAAACGTTTATGTGGATCCATTAACAATAATCCTTCGAGTAAATCAAAGGCAGCTGCATCAATATTCGGCACAATTGAATCTGATGGTAAAAATGGTTTCGGATGATAATTTGTACATTGTCCTAGAATTCGATGAAGAGCATTTAATGATTTATCGGTTATTGTTGGATATGCTATTCTATGTTCATGCGGAAGAAAACCTAATGAACCACAACGACGTTCAACAATAAGACGTAATTGATCGAAATAATGACGACCAGGAAATAATGGTTGACCAAATATAAGTTCACTAAGAATACATCCTACTGACCACATATCTATGGCTGAATTATATGTTCCATCACAAAGCATTAATTCAGGTGCACGATACCATCGTGTACATACTAAAATAATCATCAGATGAAAGATCCATTTGCTTGAATAACACAAAAATTTATTTACCGTAACCAGTCATCGGTGTATTAGCTTCTTCTTCTGGTACACGAGCAAGGCCAAAATCACCAATACGTACATGACCATCAAGATCAACAAAAATATTACTTGGCTTTAAATCTCGATGCACTATGATTGAAGAGAGAACAAAAAAAAAGCATAGTTTAATCGTTAAGACATCAGATAGAGTACTTACAAACTTTAGCTGAATGAATAAATTTCAATGCTCGTAATATTTGATAAACAAAATGTGGAACATGACTACTTGTAATAATACGTTTATCTATTGGCCGTTGATTATTCATTTTAATCAATTGATGAAGATCTAAACGCATTAAATTAGTTACAATATAAATTTCGCGCATATGTTCAACTGTTGCTGCTGGCGTATAACAATCAAGAACTTGAACAATATTGTCATGTTTAAGTGGTGTTAAAATACATATTTCACGTAATGACCGAGAATAAAATAATTTAGCTTCAACAGCATTCATTGAAGGTAATTTTATTTTTTTAATCGCTACTTTACGTTGAAGTAACGAATCATATGCTGATATAACTTGACCATAAGCACCTGAACCAATCATTTTAGGTAATGAATAACGAGATCCAAGATGAAATACATGTCCATCGACATTTATATTCGAATTGAACGTTAACGTTTTTGTTCCATAACAACGGCGAGAACCATCGCGACCAAGATCATCATAGATTGAAGAATCTATAACCAAAAACAAAAATATATAAAGAAGTATATATAAACTTTTTGCAAGTACAAAAAAATACAAGAACTTACAAGTCGTGTCACGAGGCATTGGTACGATCAACAGTGGAATAGATACATACGATCGAAGTCTATTTATATATAATCATGATATGGTATAGAATGGAAATGGATAGAGAGATAGAGAGAACTTATCTTGTGTTTGAATAGTAAAGAGTCATTATTCGATATTGTTCTATGCCTTGATCTAGGCATATATATTTATCACATAATCGATGCGTTCTATCATAGAGAAAGAACGAATGCTATATACAAAGATGAAGAGATGAATAATCGAATATAAACACAAAATAATGATTGAACAATTGATTATAAATATATGTGAATAGATAGTAATGAATTTATTAATTGAAGATAACCAAGAGATGTTCACAATAATAATAATCAATGGATGAGAATCAAGTCAAATGAATAAGTTTCTTTTCTTCCAAGGATATTTAGTCGAATGTTTGTTTTAAGTGCATAAATCGACTATTATTGTCAACCAAGAAGTTTCATTTATTTCATACGAAAGTTGTTTTTAGTTACAACAGAAACATTTCATGATATTTAGACCCTTAGTGATTGATCTAGAGAGAATACTAGTCGACCCAACATGGATAGAAAACGTAATAGAGTTGGAGAATCAGTTTGATAGATATCGGATATTGAAATAGAAACTCATTTCTTGATCCAGATCTTTCTTAGAATATTATCAACCATGGACAACAAGATACATATTGTTTAGGTTTAATTGATGGCCAACACCCATAGTACGTGGATGTGGCGAAATACGATATACACCCGCGTGGTGAAACAAGTGATCGATATCATAAATATTTAAAATATAGATTTTTTTATTTTATTTTCAAAATGCATCGCTATAAATAAGAATTAATATATCTAACAAATATGTAATAACAAAGAAAAATTAATTTTTAATAATATTTTTCATGAAAAGATTAAATACAACTGATTAAATGAAAAGGAAAAATACTCCGGTGTTAAATACCATTTTGAACATAATTAATATACCAATTAGAAGAACATGTTAAAAACAAGAGCCATAAATGAGTCATTTTCATACATTAGTCTTGTCCAATGATTTCTATTTCATGTGATGCCCAACATTTCAACGATGAGAATTTGTATTTCAATGAAATTTTTAAGTTTTCTCTATTGGCGATAAGGTCTTCTGGTTGAAAAATGTTTAGATAAAAATTCTCGAATACAGTTCCTTCATACATACATTATCAAAGCCAAGTAAAACAATGATAGCTTGAAAATAGCAGTATATGAATATGAAACATCGCCTATGACTATGTTGAATCTCTTGATGCTCTATACAATGGTATATACGAAATGAAAAACAGCGTGATATGATTGGCAAATCTTTCTCAAAAAGTAAAATTTGATAACTAGCATTGTTCATTTATTAATTTAAAAATGTCATTAACTTGTTCAAAACCAATTTGCAGAATAAAATTTGTTTGCTTCCCATAACTTTTGTTACCAACGATGAAAAAATTTTTCTCTGTTGTCAACATACTATTGGTACCGTGGCTTGTTTGTTTCAAACAGTCAGCACTGCTAGATGACAATAGTTTGACAGCAAGTGCTATTGGACCTTTAGTACGATAACATTCCTGTACGTTCAAATTGGCATAAAGACTTCGATCTGGTTGTGAACCAGTATTGGCTATGACATAATCAATATTATTTAGAATTGTAGGATGAGGAGAATCAATTGTAATATCGACTGTTGAGGAATATGTTGATAAGGTAAATTTAGTTACGGCGGCCTTATCGTAAATCTCATTAAAGATATTTTTATTGGCATATATTTGATTCGCACTGGCAACTAGTTCACGTCTCTGTATTAGTGGATCTTCAGGATTAATACAATATGGCAAGTGGTCGATCGATTGTTTGATAATCCAATATAATTGTGTTTTCGGATAAGCTTCTTTGACTTTGGCTAGAAAAGATAAATGATTACAAATACAAGCAATTGATTACTTTAGTCAAGTAATGAATCACAAGATCTACGAAAGATTCTCGATGCTCAATATGTAGAAATCTGAGAGATTGTTTATACAATTCAGCAACACAAGTATCCACTTGGCATCATTCAACATTTACCTAAGAAGACGGCTGATGTCGCTGCACTGTAACCTTTCCCAATAAGAACAATTCGTTTACCGGCAACTTGTTCGTAATTACAATGTGGTATCAGATAAGTGATAGGCGATTGTAGTTTATTCTGTAATGCACGTTCATTAATGGCTGGCAAGTAACTTGGACCAACAAAATTTGGATTACTGTACGTACCACTTGCATCGATTACACAGTCGACAATAAAATATTCTTCACAGCTACTTTGTTTATTTTCTACAAGAATAATAAATCTATTAGTGTGAAAGCGACCGATGGATATAACACGATGATGCAATCGAATATTTGGTTGTAACAAACAACTAACATGTCTCAGATAATGTTCTATATATTCACCGCCTGTTAAGAATGCATTGATGTCTTGTTCTTCTTTAAGAAGATTTTTTCCTAATAGCGACACATTCATGTTTAACGGAGTAAATAATTGTACATGTGACCATAAACGTACATTATTAGCAATATCGTCACCTGATTCGAAAATAATAAATTGGTAACCATGTTTGAGAGCATGTAAACCACATTCCAATCCTATTGGACCACTTCCAATAATACCAATCAAGAAATTTTGGTTTTCAGACATTTCGTTTCAAATATAAAATAACAAATAATTATACTTTAAGAATATACAATTGTATTAATAATGGCAGCTACTTTGTCGATAATAATAATCTCTCAGTAATATCTTCATATGCTCTTTCATTCTCACGCATGCTCTATTGTAATACCCTATGCGCAAGTAGAAACATTATGAAGATAAGAAATAGCTTAATAAACGTGATTACCAAAGATAATAGTAATCTATCTGTATACTTTATGGTTAACACTCTTTTGAAGAACTGACTCATTAAAGTAAACTTGCATGCTTGTGAGCAATATTGATAGGACTCACATTAAAATTTATTCGTCGGATATACTTTATTTTTCTCTTATTTTCTATTGATGTAGATAGTGTACGAATAGGATCATAATTCTTCGAGCTTTTTACTTTCATATTCATATCGAGACAGTGGCTAACTCGTTTATCCTCTTTATTATTTTATGCTTCTTCATTTTTTTCTGCTAAAATTTAACGAAACAATAACTTTTGGTCGACATTTGACCTATTACTATTATTCTAGGAGGAAACAAAGACGAGTACTACCAGTTATTTCCAGGCACACTGATGTTTACATAGGATAGTTGTCGAATAACGATAGGTCATACATTTAGACCTATCATGTGTGGCAATTACAGAGTAGATAGTATATCGTTCGGAAAGAGATGTCTCTAATTCAGAAACAGAAGTGCCTTTCATTATCACAATAAAATGTTTAGTTTTCACATGCCTTTCGATGAAAGGTGAACAAGCGGACTTCGGTACTTCCGAAGTACAAAAGTACGGAAAAGTACAAGAAGTACAGAAAAGCACGATGAGAGCTGTTTAGGTACATGAATATGCATAGAAATTTCTTCAAATTTGTTTGAAAGAAAAAATCTAATCATAACTATAAAAAATTTAAAACGGTTGCTATTATCTTTGCGGCTTGATTGAATGACTCGAGAGAGTCGACCATTTCACAAAGGCGTGCTTTTATCAGTTAATAACCAGCAAGCTAGCGGTGGTGGAGCCAACAGACCTGGATAGGCTCAAATTAGAACAGATACGAGCTGGGATAGACGCGAGTCTAACATAGATTTAGGCAAACTTCAAATAGGCACATCAAGGACTTGATAGGCTCGACGAAACATAAAAATTTCCTATTAATGCTTATTTTCATAATTGTTCGACCAATGGCGTACTCTAAGATGTTCAGTCCATATTTCAGCTACTTCTAACTTCTGTTCAATGGTATATTTTTTGAATTTCATTGGCATGTAATTAGATTGACATCGAATTATTTCTTCTTAGTATAGAACAGTTGAGTTTCCTTTTCCAAAATTCTATTTAAAATAGTTTTTGAATTTTATTCCTGCCACAAAAAACAGGTAAATTGTAGAGGTCAATCGTAGTTTACTCGAAAAATTGCCGCCTAGTGGCTGTAATAGAGTCGATTAATAGATCAGTAAAATCGTTGGTTTTTGTCGGTTTTCACTACATTACTAAATATTTGAAAAAACGACTCCTTTCCTGTCGCGATACCAGATAAACAAAAGCAGACTTTATCTTTCTTTCGCAATAAAGCACAAAGCCCACTAGGTTTCATGTAAGTTTCTCTTCAAGTTTAATTCTATTTAACAATTCAGATGATACTAAAACTGAGTCAGGCTTATGAACAAAAATGTCATAGTTAAAGCCAATAAAAATCTCACTGTCAACTTGCTGAAGCACCTGCGCTGATTCTATTTTAAAAAATCCCGACAGGACATCTTCTTTTTAGCTATCGGGCAGGCTATTTCTTGTTTGGCTATTTTTTCTAATGCTTTTTTCAATAGCACTTTTCGGTTAATTTCTGTGTTCTCGGGTGCCATCATATATTAGATACTTATCACGTTTATAAACAATCAAAATCTAGCCAGAAAATCAACAACGATCATCATTGTAAAAAAGCACAATACTTTTCAACTGGTTCACATTCATAAATACAAAATTAGTGCTGAAATCAGATTGAAATGAGTTAAGCAATTTCCAAACCGTTTCTATCAAAAACAACGTAGAAAATCGAAATTTCATGGACTACGCAATTCACACTGATTATATATTTGATTGAAACTTCATAAAAACAAGAGTGTAGCTGGTGCAAACTACGTTAAAACTTTTCATTGGCAATAGAGAAAAAAAAATTAAAGTCTTATGATAACAATCAAATTTGAATCCTGTATTTTTACATGGGCAGACATAATTTTCCCAAAAAAGGGAGCCTACCCCCTAGACTGGAATCATTCGGCCGTCTCTGTATCGGTGTGCTCAGGCGTTATTTAAAATAGCTATTAAAAGTGGATATCATAGCATTAGTGTACTGTGTGATTGAAATTTTTGATCACGATCACGATCATGAATATTTCTATGTGATTGTAAGAGGCACGAAAACGTTTTGGTCATTCGGTTGCAATATTTCCTCAACGTATTTCATTCTGTACATTCAACGTTTATAGAAATTAACAGTCACAATCGATTGCTTTCATTTGTATTCCAGTGGTAGTTCTTTGAGAACACAACAAATTTTAATAAATATTTGAGATTTTGAAACTATATGTTAAATTCATGATCACGAAACGTTAATGTCGTTCACGATAACGATCACAAATTGTTTTTCTCAATCACGACTACGGACACGATCACGAGCAACAGACATTTCTTACTCACGGGCACGATCATGCAGTACACTTCATAGTACTACTATAAAGTAAAAGTGAAAACATTTATTTAATACATTTTTGAAGTACCAAAAAGTACCAAGAAGTACTGAAAGGTACGAAGAAGTACAGAGAAGCGCAGAAGTTCGCTTATTCCCCCTTGCTTTCGATGCATTATCTTTAATGTCATTGAGAAATTTCAAATAATTTTTATATGGTTTTAAGTGAGATCGAAATTACAAGCAGTAGAAGATTTATATACCGATCCGAGTGATCAAATAATGTAGACAAGGCGTATAAAAATAATTTCTAATTTTTCTTTCTATTCCCTAATCCATTCTCCCCCGGCGACTCCCCGGGGAGTCCCGCAAAAAATAACGAAATCCCTGGAGAGTCCCTGGCGTGAGCCCCCGGGACTTTTTATTTTGGGGGACTCCCGGGGATTTCTCTGGGGAGAATTGATGAAATTTTTTAAAATTAAAAAAAAACTTTTTGATTTAAAATTTTAAAAAATTAAGAAGAATTTATTAGTAATTAGATATTTCATCAATTTTGACCAGATAATTCCTCGGGGAGTCTCCGCAAAAGAACAAAATCCCTAGGGACTTCCTGTGGATTCTTCTAGGGAGAGTTGACTAGGGTTACTCATGTCGGTGAATAAACTTAAGCGGTAAATCAAAATTTCATATGATTGAAAACTTAAATAGTTTATTATTATCATGTTTCAGCTATTCTATGATGCTCGAATTTACTATTGGGGCCTGATATAATAGTATTACAGAGAAAATAAAATCGTTAGTAAACTAAAATAGCTTTTCATGATCTGTTATTAGATCTAAAATATTGAAATCATCATGAAACTATGCTAGATAGAACAAGTAATGACAAATATAAAATGTTTTACTGAATCATTATAGATATTGTTTTCTGAGTATAGGTTCTCTTGGAAAATTGAATCAAAGTATATTTCTGAAAAAGATATAACGGTAAAACCATCAAATACTACTGTACTACATTTATCTATTTTCTCTGCTATTCTCGTTAGTGATTTCGCCTTACTATTTAAAATATTTCTAAAATGATCTTTTCATTCAAAAACTCTTGAATCGCTTTAAAACACAAGACAATCAAAAAAACAAAATATATATATTATTATTCAGCGTCTTTTCTTGAAAGATATTTCTGCTAATGACAATTAAATACAGGCAAAAGCACTAAAAAGAAACGATGAGATTATCAACGAAGAAAGAAAATATATTCTTAAATAATTGGATTCTGTTTCAAATGGTGTTAATCATTATAAATAGTTGTATGTGATAATAGTTAAGATGAAGCTGATAAGCTATTCAATGCAACTGAATAGGACTAGGCCCAACGAAATATGACAGTTAATTATTTGTTTCAAAGCAATATTCATCCTTGAAATGAAACATGGGATAAACTACAGACTAGATATGACTCCTGGTTATATATTTATTTCTAGAAGGTAAGTATAATCAACTTATAGAATAAAATAAAATTCTTCGAGGCTAACAATAATGATTAAAATCAATAGGGTTTTGTTTTAGAGTTTTATTGCCGCGTGTTGTTTCAACAAGTTCCTGGGCAACAACAACAGCTAGATGATGATGATTGCTCATTTGAAACTGGTTGATCTGTTACTTGCTCAGTTACATTTGGTATTTGCTAGAAACAAAGAAAAACATAATAGTAAATTATTTGCTCTCTCATCTTCTTATACTTTTTCATTAGTAATTGAGTCAAACTTAAAATTTTCACTGTATCTTGATAGACGTAACATTTCAACTAGTTCAGTATTGAGATATTGTGGTTCACCATTAAGCTACATTATAAACATGATAATGAAACAAATATTTTTGCCGAAATCGTACCTTAAAAGTGATTGTCTGACTGAATTGAAATTCATTTTCATAATGATTAATTGGTGTTTGATAAGTTACCAATGCACCAAACTTATCATTAACGCTTGTTGACTCTTCAGCGGGTTTGTTCTTAAACAAACGATAAGTACATGAAGTGAATTTGATGTCACCTATTGAAATAGACGTTTTATTGATTTGAGATCAATCGAAGAAATACAAAAGATCTCACCCAGTAACTTTTGTAATTCGTCATTATTAACTCCTATTGGTTGTTTTGATACCAATATTGGCTGTGTAAAGCCGGCATCAAGTGCACCAGAAATCAAATCACTTACACAAATTGCACCACTTAAACATTCACCTATTATGCATAAAAATATCTATCTTTAAGTTTAAAAACTAAGGAAATTTTCATATTCATCATTTGATAGAATGCAATTATACTGACGTATGAAGGAAAAACAATTTTATTTTACATATCTTACCCCAAAGAACTTTATTTTGTCTTAATTCTTCCGGTACCGGTTGATCGGCATAGACATCACTGAAGTAAAATTCACCTCCAGGCTAGTAAAAAAACACAGAATTATGACATATATATATATATCTTTTAGCCTTCGAAATGTAACATCATCGTTTTCATCCCTATGGTGACTATGTTGTAATTTCTAGATTGATGAATATGGAGCCGACATAGGCATCATATATTGTGTAGCACGTTTCATAAACTGTTCATCACTCATTAGACGTGTATTATGAATTCCCAAGCTGACAATTATCATTTCAGTGAGATTACTATATAGTAAGGCAAATAATAATCTGTTTGAAGAATATCTGATAAAATTTTCATCATCGAAGATGTGAAAGTAACATTCGAAAATGTGTCTACTAGATTTGTTCTACATTCGAAAATGAACTGATGCAAACTAAAATCGTCATGTAACATCTTTAGTGAAACTGATCATCAATCAGTGAATAGTCTAAGATTATCGATAAAGCATAGAAAAAGTCTGAGATTGGAATATTTTTGTTCTCTATGAAGATATGCATCGAAGAGGTTTCAATCGTTAGAGCTACATACTTTTAATATTTCATATACTTGTTGTAAAACTTTCTTTTTGTCAGGACTTAAATTCACCACGCAATTTGATCTAAAAATAATCATTATAGAATTAAGTTACTTAGAGAAAAAGACTGAAAAAATTGATCTGCATACACAATAACATCAAATGAATTGGTTTTCAATCCAGGATCATCAGTGAGTTGCTCAATTTTACCCAACCGAAATTCAACATTTGCTTTTTCAAAGCCGTATTCTTTTGTATGATAATCAATAAAACGTTTAGCAACATCAAGCTAAAGTCAAATGCAAATCAATTATTCGATAATCATTATTGTCAAATTCGACACAAACTTGTTCTGCAGTCATGTCAACACCAACAATATAACCTTGAGCTCCAACAAGATTTGATAGAATGTAAACATCACGACCTGACCCAGATCCAAGATCTAATACTCGACATCCTTCAAGTTTGGGTGGCATGACCAAACCACATCCATAATATCTAAGAGAAAATAATTTTAGTTCAATTTTAATATTTTGTAGATGATTTTTCTATTAGACAATATCAATAGAATATCATTCCAATGAATTTTCAACTCTTCCTGGTCTATTATTATCTTTAGTTTACTTATAAGATATCAAATGTACTACTGTTCTTAGAAAATTTCTGGTGCTCAATGCAAAAATGGCTAGAATGATGTTATACTTTGGTGCAGGGAAGAGAATAGAGAATTTGTTTGAATTACAGTCTATCGTCAATAAGGTCATTTTCAAGTAGCTATCCGGTTTTCAGTGTCCGCTCACTTTGCCACAACTTCTGGATGAACTTTTTTGATAATTTCTTTGATAAAAGAAGGAATTTGAGCTTTTGTACAACAAGCATCTGTTTTTAAATCAGCTGATTGTTGTAATTGTTGTCCATAATAATTTTGGACGTCTTCATGTACACTAGCCATTGTGATACGACTACTTGAATGAGGAAATATGCGCAAGAATCAGGCAGAATCCTGTTTCTATTCAGTGCAAAACTTGACGAGTCAAATGATAAATAAAACGATTTTTTATTTTTATCAGGTCCTGGTTTATCGCTATGTTGGCTGAATGACTGCAGTATATATGCATGCTGACTCACAAATCTGAAGGTTGGCACACAACATACCAATCAACACATATCAAATGATAGAAGAGGCGACATCTAGTCCATCGTTTTATTTTCAAAACACAAGAACGNATGCCGTTTACATAAGATATGAATTAGATTTTAGATGAAGTTCACTATTCTAGCTCTGCTTGGCTCCGTTGAATTGACGACAAACATAGCTTAACTCTAATTCCAAATGAGAACAATGAGTGGAATTGCCAGTGCAATCGATATAACAAAATGCAGCGAAAACAAAACCAACAATAGATTATTCCAAGATCTTGTTGCACTACCATCATCATTTTCGGCACGAATTCTCGATGGTTCGGTTTCATATCGCTGGCTAACTGCTTTTTTCGATATTTTTCGGAAAAAAAATTGAATAACTTCTAAAATGATCACAATGCAAACGACCCAAATCGACCAAAGTGAGAGAATGATGATCATGCCAGTTCGATTTTTACCCAGTTGTTCGACAATTATAAAGATAGCTGGTATGGAAAGAAAAAATGCCGATGATTCAGTCAATCGATGGAGCCAGTTGAAGGGTGCGTAGGTACGGGTACAACTTGTACTGGCATATAAAATCCACTCTTCTCCTCAAAAATTGGGGAAGAGGGGTATTACAACCGAACAGAACTGAGTACATGCGTGTACAACTTGTACCCGTACTTGCGCAGCTATGGATTATTGAAGAAGCTCAGCCAAAACACAGTTGGATGTTGTTCAATATTAGTTGCTGTGAGTCCTTAGTCAAAAATTTTAGAAAGGAATTTTCGTTCACTCTTACCGCTAACACATAGAACACGACAAACTAAAATAGGAGCCGCTATGTTAGAAACTTCAAGAATTAGGAGTTTGACAGCGTATATCGTCGCCATGCTGAAGTAATATACTGTTTCTCGAAAGTACTGATTGATTATTTGATGCATGAAATTCATTGGCTTTTCGCTGCTAAAGTCAAGAATTATGACCGGCCGACTTTTTGCCGGTTAAATCAAGAATTTGAACTGACCAGTCCGATCCGGTGTAAAAAAAATCGAACCGGCCCCAAGCATGATCTAGAAAAGAAGACGTGAAGGATACACACTTTTTTTCGAAACACTCAACTTCATATTCACACTAGCAAAAGAAAGTTTTGTCTTTACATTTCAGAATGTTTTGAGAAGACCTATGTCCAAAACTACACATCTACAGTTTCTTGATTCTAATGTTTTTGGCACAGTACGAACTAAAACAGAGTGCATTAATTGAGCATAAAGCGAAAAATCAAATTTATTTCCAAAAATTAGATCTTGTTTCGGTCAAAATATTCCAGTATTGTACATCCTAGCAACATGTATGTTTCAGATATCATTTACGCTGCCTACATTTTTGGCTATATTCTACATGCAACAATCGGGTGAAAAGTTAGTTTTTCGATCGAATATCCTTTATTGTTGCTTTTCAATCGAAAAATATGAGATTGATTGAAGAACCAAAAACTTAGATGTTATTTAGTATCAAAATGGCAGACTATATTTAATATGTTCATTTCATAAGTCTATTCTATTTCATTATATCTTGTGAAAAATGTAATTTCAATATTTCCGTCACAATCTATTTTCCAATAGTTTGTTAAATACATTCTCTTATTTAAATATCTGAAAATATTAACTTTCATTGCAATGTATTGATAATGTTTTTAAACTATGGCTTCTCATTTGTGAGCGTAGATCACAGTTCAAAATTGACTCAATTCTTTTATGTTTATCATATCGGATTTCTATCGAATACCGTATTCTGCAAAAGGACAAGATTTCTATATGTATAGGATAAGAGTATACAGACAAAAGGACGGGGGTGGATATACTAGCAAAATCGACCCTATTTGAAATGTGTACGCCTTTTCTCTATTATTCGAATAGGCACCAGCGCCATTTTTTGTGCATAGATAGCTCTTAATCTGCGCTAAAAAATTGTCAAAGACGAGGATTCAAAATCCTTGGCCAATATCTTTTCATAAAACCACAATGGTATTTCTATACGCAATACGTTGTGACTTTATGAAAAGGTATTGTCCAAGTATTTCAAACCTTGTATCCTTGCAAATTTTTAGAGTATACCAAGAGCTATCTTTGCACAAAAAAAGCGCTGATGTCTATTCGAATAATAGAGAAAAGGGGTACGCATTTCAAATAGGGCCGATCTTGCTAGCATATCCACCCCCGTTCTTTGAAACATTGTGCGATACAATACCAAATTTCTCTTGTTCAACTTGAGATGAAACTATTTTCGATATGAATCCTACTTGAGCAAATTGAAAACTACTTATAAACTAAGCTGCAATTTTTTTCCTATAAAATATTGTTCTTTATCACTAAAAGACTTAAATTGCTGTCATAGTTTTTGTTAACAAGTCAGACTTGACACGTGTTTAAATTGTTTTTCGACAGAATATTAATATTTTTCTTCTATTTCGTTATAAATGTAGTTTTATCATCAATCTAAATGATGAAAGTGACTATGTACACTCAGATTCTGCCATTCAATCTATATATAGGATATATATGATATGGACAAGAACCGCGCTATCTCATTTATGAAAATAATTGTTTATCAAGCAACATTCTTCGGTATAACCGATATTCAAATAAAAATATATAGTGAATGTATTATTTGTTAAATCCATTGACGAAAGATAAAATGCAGATCATTATCATTCTCTTTACATTCAGGAGATGAAAACATTAGGAAAAAAAATGTTGCTTATTATTTTAATGGCGATATAACGAAACAATTAAATATCGTTGTTTTCGTCTGCTTTCTCTCGTGTACGTATGTCCTCCTTGTCGCTGTATTTAACTCAAATTGATAGAGGGGAATATTTTAACAAAGGAAAACAAAGTCGCCTGCTAAACAGTTCGTTATATTCGTCAGATATAAATTTTTTCGTCAAATTGGTTCATTTGCGAAGGAGAAAAATCAATACAGATATATTTATCCGGATGATGCTAAATAAAAAGAGAAAATGTGATACTCTTTAAGCATTGAACATTGTATATGACATACAATATTGTTTTCCTTTGTTATTATGAAGAACAAAACATTTCACTGTTTAATAAAGTAATATTTTCTCTCTAATTCTGATAGTGAAAATTCTTTTTCTTAACAAGAATAAAAATAATTTTATTTCTATTGTTATTCCATTATTTAAATAAAATACTTCTCGTTATCTAATTATTATAATCCTTTTTATCCTGATTAAATAAAAAAAATAATTATATCCGAAATTTGAGAAAAACAGTAAATTTATTTATTTTAAGATAAAATGATAAGTAAATGGGAAACATTGCCAAATGAAATATTTGGAAATATATTTAATTATTTATCATGGGATGAAATTTTAATATCATTGTGGTCATTAAATCATCGTATTAATTCTTCAATTTGTTCAATATTTTCAATAAATAAAAATGGAATTATTTTTAGTCGACCAGGTTTACCTTATAAATCAGTTTCTAAAATATTATTACCATTGATAATTAAATCATCGTTACTTAGCTCTTCTATTAAATACATTCATTTGAATGGAAATAATTCAAATTCATATGACCTTATTCACCAATATTTTTATTATAATAATGATAACGAAAGTTTTTGTTTTCCTAATCTTGAATCATTAAATATTACTCAATGTTTATTATCGAAATCATTAATTGCCAAATTATCTTTACTTATTCAATATCAATTAAATGAACTTAAATTGATAATCGATGAAGATGTGTTTCAATCATTTACATATGAAGAAGATTATGCATCAGTTAGTTGTAAAAAAGGTACGAATCATTTTTATAGATAAATCTTCAAAACAAGATTAGCTTTTATTATGATTAAAATACTTACATAGAGATGAAATAATCAGATGAGTTAATTTATCATTATACTATTCGATTCTCAATAGTATCTCATGTTATTAGGAATGTTACAGTACGTTTACTCGGTAATTAGTAACAATCTTTCTTGCTTTAATTGCTATATTACTATTTTATAGTAAATCGCTTTACTTTTATATTCCTCTTATAATAAGTACAAGAGAGCCACGGAACCCCAGCGACAATTCTATGTTATAACAGTGACTTTCCTTATAAGGCAAGCTTTCATCTACTTACAGTGTGAAATATATACTGTTGCCTACTTATATAGTTCAATTTCATAATAATAAAAGTCGGATACACTGCAAAAGAAAACGAGTGTCTCTTCATTTTACGCCAGTAATGTCTTATAATACAAGAAGTCGATGTTCTGGGTTTTAATGAAACATTACTTTAGCTCATTTAGGTTTCTACAATCTAGAAAGTACATGATTTCATTTGAAATGTGTTGTTAAGATCAAGCTATGCTGAAAACACAATATTTAGTGTTGCCATAGTCCTTTAGCAGAGAAGCAGAAATCTAGGTAAACTCAACTTTGGTCGACAGTAAAAATGTCGACAGTAAAAATGTCGACAGTAAAAATGTCGACAGCTAAAAATGCCGAAAGTAAAAATGTCGACAGTTAAAAATATCCAAAGTGCAAAATGTCGAAAGAAATTTATAAAAATAAAATTAAAAAAATCTAAAAGAAGGAGTGTTTTAAAAGATATTCGATGAATA